CCTATCCCCTGTGTGCCTATCCTCCAAAGCGACTTACATATTCAATACTGTGGGCAATCCCCGCAGGAGCAATTTGGGGTGAAGTGTCCCAGGGACACAACGACATGCTGACTGCAGTGGGGTTTGAACCTATTGGGGGTCTGAACCCTTGATCCGAACACCAACGCACTAGACCACTACGCCACCCACATATCCATTAACACCAACCTGCACATGGTCACTCCAGATCTCCTCCGTCATGCCTTTCTAAAAAGGAAAAAAACAATAGCCACAAGTGTTATTAATTATGAATCAGTTATTCTACTAGGTAAGCCGACTCAAAAATTGAATTTACACTATTGTGCCGTTAATAAATAAAAACAACATTTACAAACAAACAAACAAACATGGTTCTTCCCATCAGTTCTGACATCATGAGTGAATTAGGTATTGATTAGTGTTTGTTCTCATCAGGCTTTTGTAAGTTATCCTTCAGAAAGAGAGCTTCACATGCTGCCATCTGCTCATGTTTAGAGAGTCTACTATTCTTCACTTTGAAAAATCAACAGAGATTCCACAGAGATTTGTTACCTGCTTGTTTTGGCTAAAAATGCAGAATTACAAATGTATCCCGGATTAAAGTTGAAATATGTGAAAGTAAAACTAGAACATTATCTGAAAAGAAGAACAAATACTTTCTAGACACAAGGGGGTTTTGAATGTTGTGGTAAAATCACATGAAAGAAACCCATGGGCTATACATTTTCCATAGCAGTTTATGAGCCAGCTATGTTTGTCTTAACTCATGGAGATTTAGCGATACTTCTGAGGAAGTCGCAATAGGCCACTTCCCAACTTGTCTTTCACATACATTTAGTCAATCCAGAAAAGTTTATAGTATGAGGATATCAGTTTGTTAATTTAAGGAAACAAAACTGAACTACACAGGTGATGGAAGAAAGTTTGGGAAAATGTGTATTTTGGAAACCAAACATAAAGGTCTGGAAGTCTGTCTTCCATCTAAAAAGTATTATCATAATAAAATAATTAATAAAGTCTTATCTTATCTACATATTGTGATAATTAATACATGCAAAACCCTGCTGCATCACTTACCTCCACGAATGTTTTGTACATGAGGAAACGTAAAGAGTCCAGTCTCCTCTTGTGCCGAGCATTGGGACACAGTCCTGAGTGAAAAGATGAGAACACTTTCATTTCTGCCTGCGGTGTGTACACAAATAAATGAACAACTAGACACATGCCCAGTCACACACACCTTGGTCGATGTTGAATTTCACCATGAGTCTGAAGACATGTTTGGCGAGCAATTTGGGCTGGATCTGGCTCATGCAGTGTTTGGTCAGAGAGAGGCGAGGGTAGCGCCTGAGGAAACACAACCATGAGTTCATACAGCCGCACCCTGAACACACAGTGGGCTCATATGCCTGGCTATCTGTTTATCTTTAAGGAATTCATATTAAGATTTAATTCATTACAGAGCCTTGAGATGCCTTACCCCTAGTTATTTATCAGACTCCTTTATTGCCGTGTTTTTCACTACGATCTATTTGATGTCAGCCTGATATATGATACTCGTGTATGTGTTGATCACACCTGATAGCTGGTTTGAAAACACAAAACAAAAAAAACGTTTTTTGTCTGCGCTATGCCCTTTTTAAACTGTTAATCATAGCAAACAGGTTGTCGTTCAAGGTATGTTGAAAAATAAATAATATGTCAGACATTTAATTATTTAATGTTGGGCAATGTTTTTATATAAGTGTGTGGTCGGGTTCTAGCTGTATGGCGATCTAGGCAAAAACTGCTTCCGTAACAAAGTTCTACTCTTGCCCTGAACACGTAAATGCACTTTAACAAAGGGGAATCTCCTCTTGCACTTTATGTAGCTCTTGTAACTTTATGTATCTCTTGTATCTTCTCTTGCACTTTATATGTCGTTGCTGCTATATTGTATTACCATGTCATAAATACTTGTGTATACTGCTCTTGCTCTTTTGCACTTTTTGCATATCATGTATTTTGTTTTTGCTATGTTTGTAAAATGTAATCTTCTTAAATGTTTTATGTGAGGGACTGCGGATGGAAATTAGCTCAAAGCTAAATCTGGCACTGTTGCACTTGAAACATTTTCATGTTTTAAGTGTTCATTACTGTGCATTGTCCCCGTCGGATAAACGATTAAAATAAATACATACAAATAAATAAATAAAAATAAACCCTGACTCAAAAATATTCGGAGCCGAGGGCCAGAGCCGCTTCAGTGGAAACATAAAAAATTGGTTTTGAATCGGGCCCCGGCATTGAACTGTTAAATTACTCAAAAACACTTTTTTCGAATTGCTTTCATGTTATTTTATTAGTGTTTGATCATTTCTGTTTATTATACTCTGTGCTTTAAAATGTGTTCTGGATTTTAGTTCATTTGACTCTCTAATTGCATTAAATGTGTTCCGTGTTTAAGTGACAGCCCTTCATACGTGTCCCATACCTGCTTATCTCGTCCACACTGAAGTAAGCGTGGCACCAGGAGTCCAGCAGTGTGACCAGCTGTTGTTCCAGATGATAGTGGCCAGTGACGAAGGACTCTGCCAAAGGCAACTTATTCTGCAAGATCAGTGGTACACACATCTGCAGAAGAAGATCGTAGATTACACACCTTTGAAGTTGATGAAGATTGTAGAGGCCATTTTAATAAAATATTTAATGCATCTTAAGCATGCGTATGGTTTCAATGCTTATGAATAAAAGTGACAGTCATTTCCAGCAAAAATGTTTTGTCTCACCTCCTCCATATTCAGATCTTTCTGTAATTTCAGCTTTACACTAAGCACTGCAGCCTGAAATACAATGAAGTATAAAAATGTGGTTTATTATTTCTGAATCTTTTTGGCTTTTAAAATTAAAGTTGACAGCAAATGGGGAGCTCACCTCTTTGTAGCAGTGAAGAGACATCAAATTCATAATGTAGAGTACGAGTATGGCTGGGTCCAGGGAATTCAGCCGGTAGATGTTTATGAGGCCGTCTACAAAGCTGGCGTGGGTATCTATCAGTAAGTTCAGAGCACGACGTTGAAGCGCCAAAGCTTGCTGCTCTGACAGTGAGCTCAGCGTCACCTGATGGAGGAATCAACAACATATATGTAAACAATTTCTCAAAACATTAAGAGAAAAATATGTCCTCCTCCTCTATACTGAAAATGAAAACATAAACAATATGAAAAAAAGGACAGTCAAAAACTTTAAGTATTAATCATTTCTGCTCGTTTTCTGTAAATGCAATCGGCTAAATAAGGATTGGGCTACATTTGTCTCAGAAATATTTGATGTCACATTAATGGCTACAGTAAACACAATATATTGATATAAATACTTGTATATGTGCACATATTATACAGTATGATGAATGCTTTCTACCAGTCCAGAAACATGGCAGTGTTTAACATTCTAAGTTTCTTATATTCAGCTTAATAACAATGTGTACACAGAAAAGATATATCCTTGTTGTTACTTATAAATCAATAAATAAATGTGGTTTGGTAAACCCTTTCAGTTTTTCTCCTTTTACAATTGATGTTGTTCATGGAGCCTTAACCAAGTGAGACCCTAAGAAACCGGCTGGCCCGGACAACGTAGAACCTTTCTTTTAAAAGATAGCTGCAGGTTTTATTGCACCACCTCTTACTACTCTTTTTAACCTCTCCCTCAGCACAAACACAATTCCAAAAGTATGAAAGTCAGCTTGTGTCCTTCCTCTACTAAAAGGAGGGGAGGCCACCTTATTAAATAATGATAGACCCATCTCTAAATTATCAGTTCTGGCCAAGGTTCTTGAAAGCCTAGTGAGTGAGCAGGTAAAGGGGTTTTTATGTAAAAATGACATCCTATGTAAACATCAGTCAGGTTTCAGAAAGCAACATAGCACCATCACTGCGACAATGAAAGTGGTGAATGGTCTAATATTTTAGACAAAAAGCAGAGTTGTGCAGCTGTTTATTGATCTTTCCAAAGCTTTCGATACTGTCGATCATCATATCCTGAAGCAGAGGCTGGCCAGTATTGGCATATCCAGCCATGCAGTGGGTGGTTTGTGAACTACCTCTCTGAAAGGTCCCAATGTGTTCAGTTTGATTGGCTGTCTTCTGAGTGGTTAAACATTACTATTGGTGTTCCCCAAGGTTCTGTTTTAGGTCCATTATTATTCTCCATCTACATCAACAGTTAAGGTCAAAATGTGGATGGAGCAACTTTAAATTTTTATGTGGATGATACCGTGATGTATTGTGCAGGTCCCTCCATTAAGGAGGCTGTTGTTAAAAGTGGGGTAGGTAAGTTTGAGAAACCGGCTCGAGATACACTTGTTATATTCCATGGAATGCTCTTAACATCCTGATAGCAATGAATATCTTAAATGCTTTGACAAAAAATCCATAAAAAAATGTCATCTGTGGAAGCTGTAGTACTGTAAAAAGCATGACCAATCATTTTCCCGGCTAAAATAACTGGATGGCCTACCTGCCTGTCAGCCTTCCATCTGTGCACAAACTTATCTCGTGCCCTCATTGGTCATGTGCGCGTTCGTGTGTGTTGGAGGAGGGGCTCTGTAAGGAAGTGGCAGATTTTTTCCGGCTGTGTATTTTCAAATTCTAGCGCACTCGAGCTGGTTTCTCAAATTACCTACCCCACTTTTAAATTACAGGCAGTTTTTAATATTATTCAGACTCAGCTCTCTGGGCTTAAGCGTATTTCAAATGTTGATAAAACTAAGGTAATGCCTATTTTCAAAAGCCAAAAAGACACCGGAGACCACTTTGGATATTGTAATTGAAGTGGTTGCCTGTAATAAATACCTTGGTATCTGGCTTGATAATTGCCTCTCTTTTAAACTTCAGGTCAATAATCTGCTAAGAAAGCTGAGGGTGAAGATAGGTTTCTTTTTCAGAAACAAGTCCTGTTTCTCACTTGAGGCTAGGAAAAGGCTAGTCTCTGTGACCTTTTTACCTGTGCTGGACTATGGTGATCTGATCTATATGAATGCACCTGCCCATTACCTGCAAAAGTTAGATGCCGCCTATCACAGTGCACTAAGATTAGTTACTAACTGTAAAGCACTAACTCATCACTGAACCCTGTATGCCAAGGCAGGTCTGCCTTCACTAACTGTACGGAGGCTCATTCATTGGTACATGTTCATTTACAAAGCCATGTTGGGTAAACTACCTTTTTATA